TCATCCAACTCACTAAAACCCCAAAACCCCAAAACCCCAAAATGTATAATAGCAATAGAATTTGGATATTTTGAATAATAATAATTTAAAGAAGCAAGATGAGCGATCAACATCAGCAATACAACTATTCAAATAATTAGACTCAATGGCAGCAAGCTTATGGGTAGTATCAACAACAGCAGGACTATTCCTAATACAATCAGTAGCAGTTGCAACAACAGCAGTATTATGCACAAAGCTCTTAATACGGGGGTATACTTGATGTGGATCATATGATTTTCTTAAACTTTTTCCTTCATAGTAGACTCAAATCAGATGGTGTATCAAGAAGGCCAATATTACCAAACTGCTAATGATTAATATGGATACTAAGCCACAGCTGACTATCAATATGGTATATCTAAAATCAAATGAATATTTTATAGATCCAAATTATCAAAATTACTATTACTAGCAGGAAGGATACTAATATGATTAAACCTAGGCTTAGTTTTAAGAACCTGAGGTTTAGCAACTTGCTCAGGAAGAAAGCAACACTGTAAGCAAAATTTTTGCGTATTATTAATTTAGCTAATGCTGAGCAACATACCATCTGAGGTGAATCAAAAGCAAATAGAAGCATTCTTCAAAACTGCTTGCTTATAAATGGGAACTTCAATGTATGAAAGCGTCAGAATGATAGGAGCATTGAAAATGGCCTATGTTGTTTTTCCAACCATGAATTCATCAAGGATTATATATAAAGTAAGCCAAACTTGCTTCCATATTTACTTTCAAGATGCTTAATGGCTCTATGAGTTTGAATGGTAAAGATAAAATAGAAGTCACTTACACTCCTAATACAATGAGAACCGAAAGATAGGAAGCTACTGAGAGAGCTGGTGGATAGGCTGCTATGTTTGGATAAGGTCTGTCATTCTATGACCCTGAAACAAAATCTTATATTACTGGAAACTAGGAGACGATAGTCCATGAAGATTGGCTTTGCGAAAGTGTAAGCAATTATTAAGTAATTTTACAAGTGCGATGGCAAAAATTTCTCAAGAAGGAAGATTTGTTATAAATGCTCTAAGCCTAGAACTATCAATGCTAAAATCGTACCAGTCATCAAACAAAAGTAAATATAACAGCCTACTGCTTTTACAGCATCACTTCAAGCTGCTCAATTCTACAACGAGGCTTCTTAAACAGGGGCACCACTACCAGCAGCATCCTAACTTCCTGTATTCCATCAGTATTCAGCAACTATTGGACAAAATTACACATCTCAAAGTATAATTATAATATTTTATGCTCACTTTTAGATTTCAATTAGAATGCTGCCCCAATCGCTGGATAACCTACATAAACTCTATAAAATGCCTAATTTGAGTTGCCTAATTCAAGTCTGATGGTTAGAGGTTAAATAATAAAAGATAGTGATGAAGCGATAGTAAAGCATATGATTATTGCGATAAACATAACTTTAGTTGATTGATGCCTTCTAATAGTTCGCCTAAGTTAAAGATGTCAGAATGATCAAGGAGAAACATGATGCACACCACAACATGTCATCATCTGGGCCTTCATCAGCCCCATAAAATAAGGATTTTGCCTTTGTGGAGTTTTTCTCAGTAGAAGATGCCACTATGGTCCTTGAACAGGCAAAACATGAGAAATTGAGAATAAAGGGATAGCTAGTATATCTTTCTTACTCTAAGTTTAAGAGACACGAACAATATGTAACAGACTTTAATTTTACGAATGGTGATCATATAGTTTGAAAGCTTTTTTGACTCCTCCCAAGGCATAAACAATGGCAATACAATAGCTGGTGGCAATGCTACTAAATTATTCTAGTAAGAAATAATACCAGAAGTTGTAAAGTTTGAGCAAGATAACTAAAATTCAGCTGTAACTAATATAACTATAAATATCATTTAGAGTTTGAACAAAGTCAGTCTTGGAAGCATTGAAAAGACTGATTAATAAAAAGAAGCAGAAAATCAATCAAATTTGGCTTTAATTGAGAGAGAAAAAGCAGAGAACTAGCTGAAAAGATGGGAAAACCAATAGTAAAAGGTAAATTATTTCAGTAATAAATTGATATATGATAATTTCAGCTTGAGAAATTGAATAAGCAGTTGATGAGCATAGACAAGAATCTAGTCATCATGCCAGATGAGCCAGTTGCTTTTGAATAAGCTTAGATTATAGAAAATAAATCATTATTACAAGAGGAGCTCAAAGAAGATTTAATCAAAGAAAAATTAAAGAGAGATGTTATTAAGCATTCAACATATGAGGTACATATTTGCTAGCCTTGCAAGAGATTGTTCAGAACATTTAACACATTGCTCAAGCATCAATAAGACTCATTACTGCATATTAAGGTACTAAATTTATAAAGTGAAATTATATTTTTCAGATAAGTTATGAGCTTTCACAAAAGAAAGCAAGAGATGAGAATCAACAAAGAATTAAGGAGAGTATGAGAAAAGAATCCCAATAAGCAGAGGATAGCAACATTGATAAGATGGCAGATAGTGCCGGCAAGAGAAAAGATAGGGAGAGTTTTCATCATTATGATGAAAAGGAAGACAAGGACAGGAAAAGGCAAAGAACTAATTGATAGAGTGTTTAGGTTAAGTCTAATTAATTTCATAAGTCAATTTAATTAAAGTGATAATTATTAATATTGAAATTAATGGAATTCCCATAAGATAAAAAAGAGGAGCTACAATATCTACTAAAGATGCTGACCAATGATAAACATACTATCTAATGTTAGTTGCAATCTATTTAAACAAATACAGAGATATCAGAGATGCTTAGTTTATTGAGACATCTGTCAGAGTAGGCTGTATCAATTATAACTTAGTCCTATTTGAATGATGCACCTGAGAAAAAGCTACTCTACTTCTATATTGCTAACGAGACTATGTTCAGAACAAAAGCAAGAGTATAAATTTCAACAGTAATATAGTTCTTATTAGGGTATTGAGTATGTAAAGAGCTATGGTAACTCATTTTAGCAATGGGTGGAAAACTTTACAAAGTAATTAGCAGTCTCATTTATCCTTGATAGTTGTGTTGATGACATTTATCAGATGGAGGGATTGCTTAAGCTTATTGAAATTTGGGAGTAAGAGTAGATTTTTTCTAAAAACTTCTCTGAGTTCCTGAAATAGTTTATAAAGCCAAAGGTAACCTTAAGCATCAAAGTTTATGTCATTAGTTTGAGATAGCACTTCAAAAGTAGAATCCTCTTGGTGTTAATATGGGCTACGATCCTTTCTAAAATAACTCATAGAGATTAGTGAAGCAGCTGAAAACTATAAATATGTTCGATGAGACTATATAGGCAGTGAGATTGGATTTAGCAACTTAAAAACTTGAGTATATTATCTATTAATGATAAACTAAATTTAGCGTGAACCAAAGACTGGCGTATCTGAGTGATTAGATAGTAAAATTTGAGAAGTTAAAGCCTGATGATGTGACTCCGAGTATGAAGATGAGTTTAGAGAATATGGAACGAGATCTGATTGAGCTAAAGAAGCAGTAAATAGAGATTGTAGAGTAGAGCATCAAATTTATGTTTGACATGAGCTCTATGGTCCATAAGGAGAAGAATCAGTGGCTTAATTTGGCTTCCAATTCCAAACTCTCCAAATACTAATAAGCTTTGGCAATCAAACAAGGCAAAACTGTCTAGAATGATAATTAATGAGGAATTGAAAATATATAGATATACTTTAATTTTATTATAAATCAGATAGATATGATTCATTGATGGGGTTTTGGGGTTTTGGGGTTTT